ACACGTACTTAAGGGAACGATGTGTAGATTGCTTAATTGCTCAGATATTTCTAATAGAACTGTCTTGTAGACCTTTGAATAAAAATAAATGTGGAGACATAGGCTACAAAGAAGACTTTATTGTTTTGAGTTGAGTGCCTTTTCCCCTTGACAAATTATCCGCAGAGACAGGCTTTTATGTTCACGAAAGCAATGTATTCAACAAATGTTTTGTGTAGAGTAATTTCTAAAGCAATTTCTTCTGTTGCTCTCAGTTTACCCAAAACCTTATTACTTAGCCTATTAGTTATTTAGACTTTTTTTTCTACTGCAATGTGATCCGTCACTTCTGTTGGTCAGATGCATTTATTTCTCAGTTTTGACTGGAGGACCAAAACCTAATTTTCTCAGAGTCATGAACCTCAGTTTTTGTTACAACAGAAGTTTGAAAAAAATCAAGCAAATAGATGTGTAACATATCCTGCTTCCAGCTCAAATTCTCCACTGGGTAGAGGCCAGAGTAGAAGTGACCTGAATCATTCCCAGTCCTCGTTCTTGCTTTGAGGGTTGACCCCAGGAACTGATACCACTCTCTGTTTCTGTTACTCTTCACTCTTTCACAATGTCTGGAGCCAAGGATGGAGCTCCACAGGGTGGGAATTTTACTAACACAGCGTAAAACCATGCCCTGCTCACCAGAATATACATCTAGAATAGGTAGAGGTGGGCAAAGGGTGAGAGAAAGTGGTATCATCTCTATTTAGCATCTGGGATGCTGAGATGGAGAAATTAAGGATCTGAGTTAAGGCACAAAAATACATGCTTAAGTATGTTCTTAGAGAAAGAATATATAGGGAAATATTCTATTTAAAGCATGTAGCTATGTTCCAGTGAGCTTAACTCATATTATTTCAGCTGCGTGCAAATGTGCTTTGCTGAACTTGGGCTGTGATTTGTGTAACAGGCAATCTGGAGCAGAAATCTTCGGAGATCTCTCCCTTCCCCTGTGTGTGATTGGCCAGAAGCTGTTTATCCCAGATCCCTAAAGTCAAGATCCAAAGACTTGATTACAGTTTCTCCCGACGTAACTGTAATTTATTGCTGTTAGCTAGAAACCAGAGCCCTGTCATTGCAGAGCTTTCTCTCTTAAAACATTTATCACACTTTCGTGATCACCAGTAAAGTCATTATTATGGCTGTTATTTTTAGCTTATAATATTTATGTTCAGCTCTGCAGGACACACAGTTGAACAGACAGTTATTTATTCCAGTAGCTTCACTTGTAAAACACATTACATAATTACAAGAGATTTCATCTTACCCCGTCTTACGAGCGCTCCAATTTTACATGTACAGTCGTGGTGGCCGTGGTGACAGTACATGGTGACAGTGGCGACAGTGTTCACCAAACCTGATGTGCAGACATCTCTGTGTGCTAGGCACTTGTATCTCAGTTGCTTTTCCCTCTCTGTTTCTCTACATCTTTTTTTTGCTTGATTTTGTTGTAGGCAAACAATCACACGCAAAAGATGGCAAAAAAATCTTGTGACTGTTTATGTGCACAAGGTACTTTGGCTCATTTGAAATATAAGCCATTTTATTCCCGTTTTAGTAAGAAAGACACGGATTAGTAGGTTTGCTTGCTTTTTAGTCTTCCCAGGTTATATATCAAGGCTTAGGGGTGAACTTGAGTGATTTCTGAGAATTACAAAACTGTACTCAAGTACTGAGCAGCTTACTCTTACTTGAGCATGGCAATGCAGAGTTAAGGCTGCCAGTTTGGATGAAGATCTTTATCTTGTCATTATAAAATTCCAGACATCCAAGGGATGATCCAAGCATAATCCTTTATTCAAATTTATTTAGAGGCCTCAGATAAATTCAATTAAAATATTTGATTAACTATGAATCAGGCTTTTCCGGAGAATAAAACGCTTAAGCAATTAATTTTTCTTTCAATTCTACATTTCCTAAATCAATATACTTTGCTTAAATCATGTTGGTTACTTGTCAGAGTTCTTCCCTACAAGTCCCCAGTTTAATTAGTCAGATTCTCATTAACGTATGCCCAACCTCCATCTTGTATTTCATACTGACCTTAAAAGGCAGGCATTAATTAATGCTTAATGAAAAAGTAATAAAGGTCCTAAATTAAGCATTTAGAAACAAATTCACAAACCTAGCAGGCAGCTCAAGCAGCAGATTGAGGGCAGAAAAGGGAAAAGAGGCTGGACAAGCCCCGTGGCCTGGAGAGGTGAGGATGGAGAGGGACCAGGAGCCTGGGGAAGGCTGGAAGAGGCTGACTTGTCCCCTCTGGCAGATGAGGGGCAGCAAATTCAGTTGGTTTTGAGGGAGAACTGGTTACAAAGCTGGGAGATTGTGGTGTGACGTATAGATACTTGCAAGAACCAGGCTGTGCACCCACATTAAACTACCGAGGCCCCTCTGGGACTCCCTTTCAGGTGGCTGTGTCTCTGCACCTCCATCCCCAGCAGTGCTGAGTGACAATTAATGGTCATGGGGACACATTGTGTCTGCTGGCAATGTATCCCTCTCCATGCACCCATATACATCTCTTACTATTAAACAAGCACTAAATGTAATTGATTTTATACAAATCTCTTCCCCGCGGGCTGGGAGACCACAGTTTGCAGTGGAAACCCTCAGAGGGTAAATACTGATAATGCTCGTCAATACACTGTATTATTCCCTGGACCAGTGCGGGGATGCGTTGGAAGAAACCTCACTGCATTTCCATGCCTGGGCCATCTCACTTGTCCCATCAGGCGTGGAAATCAGGAACTCTTACTGCCGGGCAGCTGCAGGCACGCTGCAGAGCGGCATCCCTTCTGCCACTGGGAAGTGGCGATGGCTGCAAGCAGGCAGGTCAGTCAGTGCATTAGGCTGCATTCAGAGAGAAAGCAAATTGCAGAAAAGTGCACTTCCAGGCAGTTTGGACTAAACATGAGAAATGGAATTAGGTCAGTAATTATTTAAATTAATTTTACATCCTTGGCAGTAGGGCAGACTGCAGTAGCCCTGCTACTCTTACAAATGAATGGTAATTTGCTAGGAAAAAAGAGACATATTAATGATGTCAGCCTTCGTTTTGGAAGTAATTGAGGCAGCAGCTTAAAGAAATCAATGTTACACAGCTAGTAAGCGCTATGTTTTTGTTCATATTAACCAATTCCAAGGGATTATGGATTTTTTTTTCCCCTTTCAGCAAACAATACCAATTCTGAAATAGCTATTATTTTGAGCAGGTAAAAGAAAGATCTTTTCATGCATTGCTTTAGTAAATATTCAGGATTCTTTCCAGTACTCCAGTTGCACAGGCTTGCTAAATGTCCTCCATTAACAGTCATGCAAATCTCAATAAAAGAATTGCTCTGCCAAGCAATTTGCTTTAAGGTATCTCCCCTTGTTCCTTTTCTTCCTGAGAAGAATTATTGTTAAGCTATCAGGATGACACACAGAAAATGTGCAGATGAGTACACAGACACTCTGGTTCTTAATTGTTGTAATTAGTTGGAGTTTCGATCACCAGACCATGATTTTTGCGTGGATTTCATTACGAATTGTATCCATTCATCCTCAGATAATGAAAATCAGACATTTGCAACAGCGCTCGGGATTCTCTTGCCTCTCTAGTGCTTTGGGGAAACAATTTTGTTTTTTAATGAAGGAGGAGTTTGTATGCTGCAAATTCCCAGCATTTGAACATTTCAGCATGTATAAACATCCCTCCCTTTCTGGTTTGCCAGCACTGCTGCTGTTTCCATTTCTACCCACTCTGCAGGAGCACAAATTCCTGGTGGTCGCTTCTTTTGCAGGTGTACTTAGGGACGGGGGTCTGTACAGAAACACCTGTATTGTATGAGAGAGGAACGTATGGGCTGGGCAATTTTAACAGGAGGAGAAGGACCACACTCCAGTTAAACCTCATCTCCCCTTTCCCTCTGATTTTTGCCTCCGAAAGGCCAGACCCTGCTCTTAGCGTGGGATTGCGGGCGAAGCACTAGGCTTGTGTCTCTAGCTGGAATTTCACCCTCAGCCTGCTGTGCAGAATGTGGGTCACCTACTTAGGTTTCAAAGAGGATTGCTACTGCACCCTGAAGTCTTAAATGAGAAATGTGTTTTTCGGTATTTGGTACCTCTTTTTTTCCTACTTTTTTAAGAAACCTTGAAAAAGAATGTTTCCCCAGATAATTCAGGTTGCTTCATCTCACTGCCTGTATATAAGAACTAGGATAGACATATCAAGATGTCTATCCTGCATCAATCAAAGCAGTTAATTTCTGTAATAGTAACTTGAGATACAGCATCCTTTCACCTCCACTACCCCAAGAAATCAGACAGGAGCCGTGGAGAGTGAGTACCCCAGGTCTGAGCCCACAGGGCAGAAAAAGCTTTGCCATTGAAAGTAACTTCTCACCGAGAAATACACTTGTGGTTTTACCGCAAGTTTGCTGTCTTAATGACACGACGCATCCTGCCGTGGCTCGGAGGACTGGACTCTGGTTGCAGGCGATGGGGCTCTGTGGGAAAATCAATACCTGGAGGAGCCCCGCAGGAGCGGGGATGACCGGCCCGGCGTGGTGCAGGCAGCGCACGTGCTAGCCGTGTCACCCCGCAGCAGCAAATGCCATCGCTGCCATAGCCCCCGAGCTTTCCTGAAGATTTAGCTGGATAGGAATGTGTGATTACTGTCAAATGATTAGTCCCAGTTGCTTTCGTTGACAATACGGAGCAGGGTTTCATTGTTCCCAAAGTTAAATTCAGAAGCAAACTATTAAACACAGTATTTATCTTCCCACTGTGCAAAATGCTGTGTTTAATATAATTCCTTTTTTGAAAGGTCAGATTTACATAGTGAGCAGCAGAGGCTGCGATCGCGCAGGAGGGGCGTTGCTGGGCCTTTTGCTCTTTGCAAAATGGTTACGGTGGCAGATAACCGAGCATCGGCTTCCCGCTGCCAGGTGGAAGTCAGGTCATAGAAACCCTGGAAGATAAATTGTCTCAGGCGATCAGGATAAATCTGCGTGTGTTCCCTCCCTCTCCAGACAAGCAGATGATGCTGACACTGCTGAATTGCAGCACAAGCTCCACTGCAGCTTCAAATCGGAGGAAACATAAACCCTGGCTGCAGCGAGCGGAGAGCCCTTCCTTCCCACCAAGGCAGCAGGCGCCCGGGAAATAAGGGGTCTCTTTACATCTCCTAACTCTTCTGCGCTAGCCTGCAGCAAGCAGCAGCCGTATGTGATTTCTTGTAAATCATCCCTTGTGGCAGCCTGGAACGCTTTGAAATATTTTGTCTGCAATAATCTCTTTTAAGGGTATAAATCACAGATGTTTTTCCCCAGTTTTTATTGCCTGAGAATATCCCAACCTTCCTAACGGCCCAGTAGGATCCTCCTGTTTGCAGGCCATCTGCAGCTGGCAGTGCTGCCCACAGGTGCTTGGACAACTCTTTGCTTTCATCCTGAATTATGGAAGAGCTTCACAGGGAGGCGTGAAGCCCTCCTGGTTTTGCCAGGATGATCAAAGGCGAAATTGAGGCACCTGTGTTAGCCCTGCAAAAGCTATGCCAAGTCCATGCTGCGACAGCAGTTTTGAAAAGGAAACCCCTGAGAGGTTATAGACTGCAGGGCAGCGCGCCCAGCGCTTGCATTAGGTTGGGTTTGTCTAGATGTTGACTTTACGCTTGATTTTAGAGTAACGAAATGAGTGAGTCTGAAGGAGGGCCACTGAGATGGGCCTGGAGCTGGCGCATCTGGTGTACAAGGAGAAACTGAGGGTTTCAGATTTTATTAACCTGGAGAAGCCAGCCTGAGGCTGTAGCTTGGACCAGAGTCCCTTCCGACCCAAGTTTCCCTGACTGCGATTGCTCTTTTCCCATGCAATTTGTAAAAAGGTTTTCAAAACTTCACTCTCAGAGATATGAGTTATATTACTGAGTTGCTTAAAAGGAAAAATGAGTGGGGTTTCTGTTTAGAAGTTAATAGGCATATCGTGTGATGAGCAGCGCCAAGACTTGTGCTGGGGTTCATAGGAAATAGCCAAGCCGGGTGGCTTATTGGCCAAGGACATGGTCACTTCTTAGCTCATGGGAAGTCTCAAACTACTGTTCCTTTAATTAAAACGTTAAGGGACTAAATATGCCTTATATGTAAGAAAAAGCTTTTAAAATAATTTTTAAGACAGGATATTCTGCATGGTAAAACACTTTAAATTACAAAATTAGAAGTATAGACATGCTGAGTGCTCCCTTCCTTCCTTTTGTAATGTCTGTTCTTCATTTTCTCTTCCCTGAAGTACTTTTCTTTCAGTAACTGTCAACGAGGTTTTTGACCACAGGGTAAGTATTTGTGGACTGAGTCAGGATATATTTAACTGGTATAAGCCAACCCTGTGAATGTAAATATACAGTTCGGGTTGGAGTTGTTCCTGAGCACAGATAGATGGGTGGTCCTTATGAGTCAGTCGCAGCAGAGGGATTCGAAAAGGCTGTGTCCAGAGTAATCACAACTGAATGGACAAATCTGATGGCCATCAGCAGAGGCTTGGAAATGAAGAGCTGTCAAGTAGTACACGTCAGCCTTCTAGGCCAATTATTTGGTGTAATTCCATGGTTAGCAGTCGGTCCCAGATAATACAGTTAATTAATATAATCAAAAACATCACGAGACCTTATTGCTCTTCCACATTCTCCTTCACCTCCTTCCCCAGTCACAGCTCCGTGCCCTCCTATCTCCCTCCCTCCTATCTCCGTGGCACCGGGGCCGGTGTTGCTCCCTCTCCTCTTGACTCATCGTCTCCCTTGCGTCACCCACAGTGTACCATCTCCGCCGGGCGCTTTGCCAGCTGTAGGTTGGATCTGGCCCGGGGGGACGTCACAGCAATGTGCAGGGCGGCGTGCTGCAGGGCATCGCTGCGACGAAAACCCACCAGGTCACCTATCCGAGCCACGGGGTCATCTGTGGCAGGCAGAAAATCACCTCCCTCAGAAAATCACCTCAACACCAGGCCCTTCCTGCCTCGTTTGTACTGATCCTGCCCAAAGGAGAGTAGCTCAGAAGCAATATTTGAATTTAGAGGCCTTGTGGGGAATTAGGAAGCAATGTGACTTCTCAGCTTCATGCGTTACCATAAGGAAAGGGCACAGTCTTCCTCTAATGACATTTTATGTGCATAAAGCAATGTCAAAAGAATTGTAGCACACCAACAAGAAGATCAGCATTGTGCTCCTACTCTTGTTCATAGTCCGGCGTTGGTCGGGGTTGGGGATGAGCTGCTCTCTCCCACCTCCAGTGAATTCATGTGGGACAGGGGTTCTTGTAAAGAGGTGGGTGTTCCCGTTGGTACAGAAATACATGGTGGCAGCTTTGGGGAGGTTTTAAGGTAACACACGCTCCAAAACCTGCTGCAGGTTCTTTTTCTGTGGTTGTTGGAGTAACGTGATGTGTGGAGGAAGAAATTTGTGTTTGGGATGTGTGCTGACAGAGTTACATCTGTGCTATTTCCACCTTCCACACACACCCCCACATGAGTCTTCATGGTAAATAATTCTCCTTAGTAAAACTGCCAGTTCTTCTCATACCTGCAAGTAAATGAATGAAATGTTGTTGTCTGTTCTTAAGGAAATGAGCCAAGATTTTGAAAGGTGACTTAACTTTGGGCACGTGCCACTTGTTCAGCTGTGGGATTTGGGGTTCCAGCCTGGGGTAACAAATATATCCCAAAGGATGTATCAGTCTGGGAAAATGAAAGGAGAAGGGAAAGGATTAAAAAAAAAAAATGTGTTTTTGGAATATAAATAGACTGGAAGTAGTCACAGAGAGCTCAGCATAGGGCGTGATCCCAGCCACTGAAATGAATGTCTTTCTAGTGGTTTCCGTGGAAGAAAACTATGTGCGGTAATGGGGTTTTGGGTCTGAGATTTATTTCTGCTCATGTTCCTTCACATACATCAGTGTTTTTAGGAATTCTTGAACACTAATTTAAGGGTACATTTTAAAACTCTTTTCCTTTATTTGCCAGCCAACAACATCTGCTTCTATGGGGAATGCTCCTACTACTGCTCGACTGAGCACGCCCTGTGTGGAAAACCAGATCAGATCGAAGGGTCTCTGGCTGCTTTCCTACCTGATTTGTCTTTAGCTAAAAGGAAAACCTGGAGAAACCCTTGGAGACGTTCCTACCACAAGCGCAAGAAAGCAGAGTGAGTAGTGGTGAGCACAGGGTTCGCCAGCTGCCACAGGCGATAGGAAAATAAAACAGTTACTGCCCTTGCCTGATCTAAAGCACTGAGGCTTAGGAGAGCATCTGCATTTCTTCAGCAGGTCCAGCTCCTGGGAAGGGACAGAGTACTTACACTTGCAAGGAGCTCCAGCTTATGGTCCTGAACCTGAAAGGACCTTCAATGGCATAATTCCCTCGTGGGACAGATATCTCCCAGTGGCTTTGACAGGATGCAATGGGACCTGTCTAAGTCCTATCAGAGGGAGAAAGATTCACTGCTATCAGCAGCCCTAAACAAGTCTCAGATGTTTTCATCATATGACTGATGGTGCAGCTGGTCTCCTAAATCTTGAACCTATTAGCCAGATAGTTTTCAATCTTGTGATTTTATTCCTTTTTCATCAGTCACAATCTTTATCGGTTGCCTGCATTACTGGAAGCAGCCTGAAGAATTTGCTGCCTGTACCTGACCCTGCCCTCAATCAAACATGATACAACTAGATCTTTGCAAAATAACAGTTTTTTTGTAATACTCAGTAAGCTTTGTATGTCACATAAAATATAAAAATACTGGCTTTTCCAGATGGGAAGTTGATCCAGATTATTGTGAAGAGGTTAAACAAACACCCCCGTACGACAGTGGGACCAGAATTCTGGATATAATGGATATGACAGTTTTTGATTTCCTAATGGGTATGTTTCATCTCTTTCAAAAATTAAATGCAACATTTAATTAGAATAAGAACTATTTCTTTCTACACCACTCTGCATAGCTCAGCAGTTTGCTAAAGCATGGTTGAAGCTGCATTTACTGTATGTGCCGTTCTAGATGATTATGAGAAAATGCAGATTTACATGGTTATGTATTCCCATCCGTGCAGATTAAAGGAACAAAGATGTTCAGAAATGCAGAGGGATGATGAACGCAAGTCAGGCTAGTCTCCTTCCCAACAGTTAAGGGCTTCACAGTTTGCTTTAGTGAGTGCTTTACCGTTGTAACGTATGGCTCCTGGATGCACATGCAAGGACTGTTCATTATTTTTCAAACCGCACACTGTTTTCAACCTGCAGCAGTATTCACTGCTGCTTGCTCTATAAACTGTCAGAGGCGAGAAAAAAAAAGGTGTTGCTTTGTCACAAAGGCAACTGTGGTATGTATCAGGAAGTTTTGTTCTGTTTATGTAACCTGATCAGAATAAAATAATTCTTAACAAGCAAGTAATAGTGACCTATTCCAAGCCTACTCAGTGGTTAACACTCAGGCATTCTCATATGAAACCTGTTTTGCTGCAATTAATATACCTGTAAGGTGCTGATATATGCCAGCAAGGACATATCCTCTGCCGTTGCCACTACTAAGATTTCTGCAATACGCTGCAGCAGGAGAGGCCAAATCACAGCTCAGGAGCCATATGTGGCATCTATAAGTGGCTCAAGACCCCCGCCACGAAGACAAAATTCATAGCTTGGCACCAGTACTCTGCACATTGACCTTAAAAAGCAGATCACACGTCTGCCTGCCATGGGTGCCCAAAGAGTGCTATTCAGCTGTACCGCTGCAGTAGCATCCTGATCCGTATGTTAGAGCCATAATATTGTTTTGGCTTTCCAGGCAGCCAGAAATTTGGACAAAGTTCTTATTAGAGGAAAAACAGAATGTTTGGTTGGGGTTCTAAAAGTTTAATACAATATTAGCAAAGTCATATGGATTAAGATCCCTGCTTGAAGGGTGCATTTTCCCCTCTCTAAGCTAAGCCTCGCACCCGGCACGCGTACCATGGCTGCTTTGCACGCCGTACTGATCCAGGGCTGGAGCAGCAGGGCTCGTTTTCACCAAAGAAGCTCTGCTGGCTTAGGACGTAGCTACCTCACGGATGACCAGGCTCCCCGAGCCCTTGAGATGCCATCATATCTGAGAGGGATTTCCTTGGCGTGCCCCAGGAGGGGTTGCTGGAGGGTGGGAAGGTTCGTTTTGTCTCCTGATGGGTCCTCTGGAGCTTCACTATAAAAGCTACAGAGAGCTTGAGACATAACAGAGACATAACAGCCCATCTTCCAGTATCGCACACTTTGGGCTTTCCACAGTAGAAGCAAGCGAGCTCACTTGCTTTCTCTGCCCTACACAGCCGTTGTGCTTGGGGAGTGTGGGCTTCTCGCTGAACCATAGCTTGTGTATTGCCCCGACCTGCAGGCTCAGCAGCAAGCCAGAGTGAGAACGGTCTTTTTTTCCTCTTTATTCCTTAGGTAACATGGATCGACATCACTACGAAACCTTTGAGAAGTTTGGAAATGAAACATTTATTATCCACTTAGATAATGGAAGAGGGTAAATACCTTCAATAATCTTTCTGGGGAAAAAAAGAAAAAAGCTGGTCTTTAAAACCGCCTTTGTTCTTGCTCTTATCTTTAAATAGGTTTGGAAAATATTCCCACGACGAACTTTCCATATTGGTGCCTTTAAACCAGTGCTGCAGGTACGTTTCACCTCCGGAGCTGTTTCCCATTTTGTACAGTTGTTTCCACTGATAGGACTGAAATGTTCAAGTGAATCTTGTATTGCATACCTTGGAGAGGAGGAGATGTTATGATCCTGGCCAGGGAGCCTGACCCGAGCTGGCCCTGAGCGTTGGCACTAACACGTTAAGTGCTTTGTTGAGATCAGGACCTTGCCGGAGTGTGGCTGTGAGCTGTTGTGAGAGAGGCTTTATTAAGACAAAATACACGTCCCATGGAAGTCAAGTGCCAAAACTTCCCCCAGCTCGTTCAAGTGTCTCATCGGCTTTCCACGGTGCCCATGGCCAGGATTTTCAGAGAGGACAGGTGACATTTAGAGTTTCAGCTTCGCACGACCGGGACACAGGGTGAGCTCTGTGTCTGCGGAGGCTCGGGGCCCAGGATTTTCAGAGAGGACAGGTGACATTTAGAGTTTCAGCTTCGCACGACCGGGACACAGGGGCATCCCTGCAAGGTGAGGTAGCGGGAGCCTCCGCTGCCGCCACCCACGCCCAGCTCAATGCCACGAGCATCGTGTGTGTCAGTGCCGGGATTGACGTGACCCCGTGAATGCTGCACCAGATCCAGTCGGTGCCTTACCCGGCAGAGGAGCACGAAGGCAGTCTGCACTTGACTGTAGAGCTGTGCTCCAAAACCTCTCCACCTTTAAGGGCTCCCAAAGATCACTGGCCAGGTGACAATGCCAGCTGCTCATTAGGACTGTGACAGTGCCTGCTTCTCATCATTTCAGATCACATAATAAGGTTTTTACGTTGTTATCGCTATGCTGACTATAAGCCTTTTAGCCCTGTCAGGATCAATAGTGATGAAAATACTGATGTGCATTTTTTTTCTCCTCTTTCTCTTAGAATAAGGAAGTCTACCTATCTGCGATTACAGTTGTTAGCCAAGGAGGAATACAAACTCAGTCTCTTGATGAAGGAATCTTTACTAAAAGATAAAATCGCTCCCATTCTCTACCAGCCTCACTTGGAGGCGATGGACAGGCGGCTACGGATTGTCCTCAAGGCTGTTAGTGACTGTATAGAAAAGGATGGTTATGACAATGTGGTTGAAAATGACTTTAACACTGATTTTAACACTGTTACAACCGAGAGGTAGTGAAATCGCAAGACTACATTTTTACCAGCCAAGTAAAGAAGATTCAAAGGGGGGGGGGGGGGGGGGGCGGCGCAGAAGTCTTGCAAAAGACTGTATATGCCACTTTGTGAATTCAGTGAATTCAGAAATGAGATATAATTGTTCCCAAAGTAGGTAAAGTGTAGACTCTGCAAAGGCTTAGTTCATTAAGAAAAATAAGTCTAATGTGATGCTTTTCATTAGTTCCTAAAGAGAGATTATGAAAAGATTCAGAAAATACTCGGATCATTGGCAGACGACAGTCTGATAGCAAAACACCTCCTGTCCTTTTTGTATAGAAAGGAGGCCTTTACTTAATA